ATTGTAAAAAAATATACATTCTCATTTGTTCTAAATAATGAGGTTACTGGTTATTACAATAAAATGAGAATAGATAAAAAATAAGAATATGTTCCACAAAAAACTTCAAATGTCACGAAACCAGTTATTTTGACTTAGAAACTAAACTACTAGATTTATTTTAATAAAATATCTATGACCAACTAAGTATGTAAGTAAGTATGTACGTAAATATGTATGTAAATATACCAAATCAGTTTACAACTGACTGAATTATGAAGTAACAAAAGCTGCTTCACGGTTAAAACACGAATGGGACAGATGTACCCAAACAATCGACTTTTGTACAAAGTCTCTCTCCGGTATGTATTAATTCTATGTTTTATTTATTTAGGTGTTAAATATATATTTACTAAGTTGTAGATAGGTAGATACCATGGATACCATTCAAGATGAAATAGTGGGTACAGATGGAGACAGTAACTTATTCATGAGTGCAATTCCTAAGACACACATATTTCTAAGCAGTTTTAGAATTTCCTTTAGTAAAATAAAAGTGGAAATATTATTATAAAACGAAAATCATATTGCTAGTTAAAAATATGTTTCATTTTTTTTTAAATATTAATTTGCAATTATTTAATTACCAAATTTAAAATAAACATATTTCATCATAAAATAATAATATAAATAATTAGTTAGAACTATCTACTGAATTGAGCATAGTTTATATTACTTGTAACTAGTTATATCCCAAGTATAAATGTATATGAATCATAATAATAATTACGTAATTTGGAAATTGTTAATACGCTCTATTGTTCATTTCACATTCCTTGAATTTTTTTAAATTAAGTTTTATTTTAAATTTCTATTCTTTCCGTGTACCACATTTCATTTAAATACTACTTTACCAGAGGGAGACTTTGTACAAAAGTCGATTGCTTGGGTACCTCTGTCCCATTCGTGTTTCAACCGTGAAGCAGTTGTGTTTGCATGGCTGTGTTTCGGTTTGAAGGGTGGGATATGGCGTGAATTTACTGGGTACGGAGGAATAACACCTGAGTCCTCAGGAATGGCAACGCATGGGGGGTATCATGGGTGAAACAGTATACTCTGTTATGTCCACGGTACTGCTCATGTCTCTAGGCGACGGTTACCACTTCCCATCAGGTGGGCCGTCAGCTTGTTTGCCATTTTAAGTTGTATAAAAAAAAAAAACTTTCATACGATAGTACTTTCATCAATAATCGAAGCATTTCGCGTTCCATTGTTTCTGCCTACCCTAATGGGAGACAGGCGTGACAAATATATGTACGTATGTAATAGTACTATCATGAAAGAGTAGCAAATATCAATCGAATGGATCAAAAACGTTTGCGTTTATAAATAGTAGTACCTAATCTAAAACCAACCTTTTTATTAGGAAATAAAGTACATAGTTATCTCAGTGTTCAGAGATAGTCTAGGTTACTAGTCAGGGATAATTTATATGTAGCCTATAAGGGTTTTTCGGGTCGCCGAGCAAAGATGCTTGAAAAATTACGACTAGATAAATTCAAGATAAGTCAGTGGTGTTTTTAAGGCTGATTTATATCCCACTACTGGGCATGGTGGTATTTAAATAGTGAATATTTAAAAAGCTAGCTACTAACAGTTTACGTGGTTTTTGCTTTCTCTGTATACAATACATATAAAATAATTATGTAACATACTACCAGAGGGAGACTTTGTACAAAAGTCGATTGCTTGGGTACCTCTGTCCCATTCGTGTTTCTACTGTAAAGCAGTTGTGTTTGCATGGCTGTGTTTCGGTTTGAAGGGTGGGATATGGCGTGAATTTACAGGGTACAGAGGAATAACACCTGAGTCCTCAGGAATGGCAACGCATGGGGAGTATCATGGACGAAACAATATACTCTGTTATGTCCATGGTACTGCTCATATTTATAGGCGACGGTTACCACTTTTCATCAGGTGGGCCGTCAGCTTGTTTGCCATTCTAAGTTGTTTAAAAAAAAAACTCATACACTGAAAGTATAAAACTGCCAAAAAAATTGCAATATTTTTATGAATTCTATTACTAGTTATCTTGCGAATTCCCTACAAACAGCTACTAGTTTGAATTGTTATATTAAATGTACTATCTGATGGCTCAAATTAAACTACATCTTAAACCTATATAAGACTAAAACTAATTTTGGATATCAGGAGAGTTTTTATGTCACGTGCGAAAATCTGCTAAAACTAAGCCACGGCTATCCTCGGGATATTGAATATGTAACTTCAGGATTCGATCAGGGACGTTTCTTTAGGTTTTTTTTTTATTCGTGAAAATGGCATGGTTACCCCGCCTGCGCTATCGGTATACACTAGCGGGGTACCAGTGAGCCACCGCTCACTGATACCGTGGTAATAGGTGAGGATTAAAAGGCAGGTCAGTTAGCCCATTGCGACGAATTCAATGATAAATTGGTCACGATAGTTTCTAGTTAGGTAGGTTAGTAGGTTAGTTATGGGAACTAAACTCTCCATAACTAACAATCCCTTCCCCCCTGTTTCTTTAGGCTACACCATTGTAGATACATCGTTATTGACAAATGATATTATGTGTTCCATGTAACAGTTAATTAGGTATATCAATTTGTAAATGTGTGAACTTACTCTCTATATAATCATTTGAAATCACTTATGATTAGAGAACTAGTTCACAACTGATTTACTAATGCCGATAATGTTTAATTACTGTTTCCGTTTACTGATATTATAATAACGAAACTCAATTAGGCCAATCTAATCTTATTATATTATTTATTATCCGATTACACTATGACTACACTTCATTGACAGCTAAACATATTCGGGGTGAATAGACCTTCCGAGAATAGACCGAGGAATAACTACATGGGACAGATAAAAGAAACACTAGGTGTCGTGTCGTATAGGGAGGTCAAGAAGGTATGGGTTAGAGCTGGCTGGAAGAAGACGCATGAATTAGTTGCACGGACAAGAGGAAACTCTTAAATGAAAAGAGAGACCTTCCGAATGGCAAATAGTTATAATCTTATGCAATTATGGTTGACATAATAGTTCCTTTAATTAATAATATTTAGTAGAACGTTCCTTATGGCAGTCTATGGGGAGGCCTAGAGTCTGAAGTCTATGTTCAGCAGTACATGAATAAGGGTTAAAATGATGATTAAAATGAATATTTATAGAGCCAGTAATTTTTTTTTCTCGATTTATTTATTTTATTTTTATTTTATTTTATTGGCACATAAAACAGATTACAACCATAAGAAACTTAAGTAATAATTACATTTGTGATTCGGCTAGGTAATAATCCAATTATATTATGTGCACAGCTTGAGTAATACATTAAAAGAAAACACATAATATAAAAAGAAATAATTAATATGTTATATAAATATATAAAAGATAAAACTATATAAAAAAAAAACATATTTTCAATCGTATTCTATTTCGTATTTATTGGTAGTAATATTGTTAAGTACGCATTACTCAATATTATTATTAAAATTGGAGCTAGTTAATTATGTCATTTGAGCATTGTTTTGCAGCTTGTTTTCTATTTCATGTTACATTAACAATTTTTTTTTAAACTAAACCGCATGGTTCCAATTTCAAATTCTGTTCTAGATTCTCCGTTTTTCATTTTCTTTTTGTTAGATATCAAGTCCTGTGTTTTGGACATTCGAATTCTACCGACCGACCACTTTACCTAATGATTGTTAGTTAAGTACATGCTCATCTAAACAGCGTATGATCAGAAAAATGTGACAGATTGCGTAACAGTCGGCCCATTCAGTGCGCCCAGCAGCCCGTGTACACATTACTAACTCGGGAATCGAACCCAGACTGAAGTGGTCCGACCATAAAGCAAATTAATCAATTAGCTGGGGGCACGTCGACAGCATTACGAGTAACGTTTAATTTTGCTACCGCCCCAAGTTATACCGGCATTTGGGGTACGCGACCATTGTAAGTTGAACCCTTTAGTGGTACAAAAAGCTCTATTCCGGAGCTCAGCGGATCGTTTAGAGATAATTTTTGTCTGTAATTCTGGGGTAACAATTTTGTGCAATTCCGCTTACGCATTTGCTTGATAGTTGTCGAGAGCAACGTTTTGTTTGAGTACTTTGTGTTTATAGTTTGTGATGAAGAGCTATGGAAGACCCCTCGAAGAATTGCATTGTCATCTGACATGGTATTTGGGTGTAGTTTTATAATATACGGGGTGAAATTTAAATAGTTAACAATCTTTTAACTGAGTGTTGTATTAACGAAACTGGACGTTTTTATTAAATAAAAATAGATTAAAAACGATATATAATTTTGAGTCTCCCATACTGATCTTGTTGTGTGTGCATGGCTGTGTTTCGGTTTGAAGGGTGGGATATGGCGTGAATTTACAGGGTACAGAGGAATAACATCTGAGTCCTCAGGAATGGTAACGCATAGGAGGTATCATGGACGAAACAGTATACTTTGTTATATCCATGGTACTTCTCATGTCTATAGGCGACGGTTATCACTTTCCATCAGGTGGGCCGTCAGCTTGTTTGCTATTCTAAGTTGTATAAAAAAAAATGATGTATCCATGTATGGAAGGATAAAACATTTCTAGTTACCTACTTATAGATATAAACTTATAACCTATACTAATTTATTTTCTATATGAATTCTTCAATTTCGATTCGTTTGGATAATTTATTTACGTATTGGTATCCGTATTAGATTTATTAAGTGACGCCACTTTTTTTAGGGAATGAAATCTTAATAATTGTAATTTTAAAGTAACAATGTAATTTGTGAATGCAATAAAATATAAAAAAAATAGTAACTGAAATTTGTGACACAAAAAAATTTTTAAATTTTTTTTAAATAGAATGAAATCGGTCCACAATTGATGAACATTTATACTTCACCTTTTTTTTATGTCGGTTAAAAATAAACCAAGCCGTATTAATGATGATCATTTATATTTTTTGTTATCATAGATGCCCTTCAATCCGAGGCTGGATCAGACGGGAACAGCGAACACGCGTCGTCAGGAGACGAGGACTCGCAGATGCGGTTACGGCTCAAGAGGAAACTGCAGAGGAATCGGACCTCCTTCACCAATGACCAGATAGACAGCCTTGAGAAAGGTAAGCAGCACCGTCACTTTTCGTTTCTATATTTTTATTATTTTTACAGGTTACGAAGAAACACCAAGATTAGCCAAATTTATATCAATTTAAATGAACAACTAAATTCGAGAGTTAGCAGTATATATCGCATAAAAATAGGTCGCGCCATAGGCTAGCCCTTCCTTTCCCATATGTATTGTAAGAGGCGACTAAGGAAGCTTATGGTGGAGGGAGGGGCAGCAGCGTCCCTCTCAAAACATCACCAAAAGCCGAACTACGGTTACCAACCTACATGCTAAGCGTTGCAGCTACTGGCAAAACTCTCCTTATGGCGGAGGCTATGTTCAGTCATGAACAGTTAACGACCGATTCAACAATATCTTCTTTTATGAGTTAAAATGAGAACCCTGATTGCACCCGATTCACTATAAATTGGCAATATTTATATACCTTATCATCACTCACTGATACATCAATGAGAAATGATAGGGGAGAGTGAAGTCAAGTTGACCAATCGTGATGGTCATGACTGATCATAACGGTTTTCAAGAAGGTCCGCGTGAAGGTCGACTTAATAGATTTTGTGTTAGCTATAACGTGGGAATATTACTTCTCGTTACTGACAATCTCTTCCTTTCAATAAGAACATGATGACTACAACGGGAATAGTCAACAAATACTCCCGACTACCCTATTAGGGTTTTTAGTCGTGAATATATATATAGCTTTAATTTTATTCGAAACATCTGCAAAGAATTTAATGCACATTATTGTACAGTAAATTTATTATAAGTATTTAGACGTCAAAATGCAATTGTAAATAATAATAAAACCATTGACACTTAATGACAAATTGCAAAGCCAAAATCTCCACCCATCGGACTGCAGTAAGTGGTCCCCGGAGACTTAATAAGCTCATTTCTCCCTTTCATCTTATTTATTGTTTGCGAACAGTGTTATTAGTAAATAAATATTGTCCCGCTGTTATTAGAAAATAAATAAACACCAATGTTTGTTGAACTCTCGTCGGTTGGCACTGGGGCCAATTATGTCTGTGGACAATCATAATCTGTCTATTTTTTGTTTGTTCCGTTGTTCTATTACACGGTACGGAGTTATTAATAGAAATATATTTATATAATTATTACTTTTTTATGTCAATTTAGAAAATTTTATACTTTTTTTTCTAAATGAGAACAAAATTGGTTATCTAGCTTACCTTCCTCTCTTCTTGTTTAAGATTTTCCACTTGTCGGAGCAACTGATTCATGTATTCTCTTCCATCCAGCTCTATTCCAGACCATATCTCTGAACTCTCTGTAATATATAGCTTAGCTTTATGATAAAAATACCGTTATCTTTTAATCTAAAATAAAACCTATACTTACTTAATTTATCAATATAATTTTAGCCTTCAGTCGTTTAAGTGGATATTGTTGAATTAAAAAACAAATGATCTATTTTCATAAAAATTATGTTTATTAATAATAATATATATTTAATGTATTATATTTTTAATGTACCTATATATTTAAATACTTATATAATATTTGTTTATCTAGTGAAAGCCAAAAGTGCTAAAAAATGTGTGTTTTAAAATAAGTACTTATTTATTTATATGAATTAATATATTATATATATTATTATTTACATTAATTCACATTATTTTTACGAAATTGGTTAATTTATACCTTTCGATTCGTCTATAAAAATAAATGTTGATATACAATTAAATTTTAACTTTGTTTTTAATTTGTTTTCTATTATTATAATGTTTATATATCATATTTATTTAGTTACTTATTTTTATACCATTACATAATCCGTTTCAAAAATATGATATATTTCGTGACTGTGTTGCCAATAGTTTCTCTATCGCAATATATCTAATTCCATTTTTACGTCCACAGAATTTGAAAGAACCCACTACCCCGACGTGTTCGCGAGGGAGCGGCTCGCTGAAAAGATCGGATTGCCTGAGGCACGTATCCAGGTAAAATAAAATCCAGTTTAAACAGCGGTAAGGTGGCTGTTACAGTACTATAGATTAATGCCAATGCCTCGGTTACTAACAAAAGAAAAAAAGCAGCAGTTGAATTCACAGAAATGTTGGTAAGACTTTATACATTAACAGCTAATATCATTATTGCAGGGGGAAAGGGATTGTTAGTAATGGAGACTGAGAATCCCATTGCTAGTAATATACCCAACCAGGTCGACCTCCTCGCGGTTCTCCCTGGAAACTATCATGGTTAATTCCTGATGAATTCATCATGATGGGCTAACTGGCCTGTTTTCATTCTCATCTGTCACCCTTCACTGGTGCTCCGCAAGCGTATCTCGTTAGCGCAGGCAAGGTTACCATACCATTTTCACCCATCAAAAAAAATCATTATTGTGGGGGAAAGGAATTGTTAGTAAGGGGGTCTAACAGCCTCATTGCTAGCAATATATCCTATCATACCTCTACGCAGCTTCCCCTGGAAACCATCGTGGTTAATTCTAGTTGAATTCATCATGATGAACCACGTGACCTTTCATCAGCATCTGTCGTCTCTCACTGGTTTCTCGCCAGCGTATGCCGATAGCGCAGGCGAGATTACCATTCCATTATCACCCATTAAAAATATCATTATGCCACTATTTAGTCTCTACTTAAGACATTTCGATATAAGGAACGGTCCTGAGCCACCTGTATCCACTGGCTGCCTGCAATACATTTGAAGTTGTCGCTCCATCTAGTGAAGGGTCTTACTTATACAGGGTCGCCATTTGATTGTTAATTCGAGCTATATTGCCGGTCCAATGCCGCTTACTTATTTATCTTTCGAGCCATATCGATAAAGTGCTGTATTTTATTTGCTTACCACTGTAAGTTTATCATTGCTTAGCGAATACATATCCATTAGTATTATAATTTATTATAATTATTATTACGTGACCGTGTGGTCCCGGCATAGAATAGGCCACCCCTTCCTTTCCCGCGGGTGTTGTAAGAGGTAACTAAGGGAGGGCGAGGGATGGGCAGCGGCATCCCTATTAAAAACATCTCCAAAGCCTAACTGCGGTTCCCAATCTGCTTGTAAAGCTTAGCAACTACTAGCAAGACCTCCCAAGGGGAGACTTATGTTCAGAAATGGATAGATAAAGGCTGATGTGATAATGATATACATTATTACTGCTCTACTCTATTGTTGTATCGGCCGTTAACGGCGGTCCACTGCTAGACATAGCCTCCCTCATAAGTGGGAGTTTGCCAGTAGTTGCCAGTTGGCACTCTTGGCAGGCGAGTTGGCAAGCGCAGTTTAGCTTTTAGTGATAGTTATGTTTTAAGAGGGACGCTGCTGCCCATCTCTCAACCATAAGAATGCTTAGTATTCTTTTACGACACTTACAGGAAAGAAAGGGGTGCCCTATTCTATCCCGGGACTTACACGGTTATTACCTTCTATTATTGCCAGTGGGCAATAATAGAAAATTATATATAAAATATATTATTTTATAACCACAATATAGGGTATATTGGTCAGGTCGACCTCCACACAGTTCCCTTTAAAAACCATTGTGGTTAATTATTGTTGAATTCTTCACGATAGACCAACTGAGCTGCTTTATCCTCACTTATCATATCTCACTGGTGCCCCTCCACTGTATAGCGAAGCGGAGTTACCGTTCCATTATCATTCATTACAAAAAGTTTCTTACTTGCTTTTTATTTGTTTATTTGTATAAGCTTTATTTTACATTCACAATTAATATAAATATCCAATTTTTTGTATCTGAAAATAATATGGAAAACGTAGATGTATATATATATATATATATATATATATATATGCATATACACACACACACACACACACACACATACACACACACATATATATATATATATATATATATATATATATATATATATATATACATATACATTCGTGTTTTTCTTATTTATTCATTAATGTATATGTATAGTCTTATATGAGGTTGCCAATCCGCCTGCCAAGTGTGGCAACTACTAGCAAAACCTCCCTATCGGGAAGCTTACGTTCAGCAGTGGACAGTTAAAACCTGACGTAATGATGATATGATGTATATAGTCTAGGTTTAAAAAATATAATTATTATTATGTTATTATAGTATTATTAATTTAATAAAAAACAAGTACGGTTTTAATAAATTAGGTCGTGTGTCAATCAGGGAACCTTACGGTTTTAAATAACGCTCACTATGACATAGGCGGTTTAATAAAACCGTTCATAAGGGTCTGTTTACACTGGATGTTTGCGTAGGCGCGGGCCGCATGTAGATGCGTCTTCGGCAAACAAGCTAAAAAAACAAGGGCGAAATCCCCGTTAGGCGGCGCTCGCTTCGCAAACACACATATTTTGACCCTATATTATGTATATATGCATATAAGTATTTTATTGAGGTATTTTTTATCTATATTTAAATATATTTCAACCGCCATCCTTTATTTTGTACTGTTATATTTTTTATAACTTTAAAAAATGGAAGAGATTAAGGATTTCTTTTTTGTATTTTTTCTGTAGATATATATTAAGCGATGTTTTTGTCAACTACTGAGAAATAATTATTTTTATTATCTTTTTATATAGTTTTAACATTGGCTGAAGTCTCCTTTATAGTATAATTACATAAATTTATGTGTATTTTAATCACATGATTATAATTATTTTTATATTTTTTTAAATTAATTAAGTTTACTTTTATAATGGTTCAATATAAATATATCAAAATCGAAGTTTGATTATTGCATGTTGAATATATTTCGGAGCGAAACAGAAAGTAACTCATAATTATAAACACGCGCTTATGAATTACGTGTTGTGGTGTTGAAAAAATTTAATCAGAATGGGGACTTACAATTATATATTTTTTGCTTCGACAAGAAAAAGGCAACTTTATTCGCAAAAAAAAAAAAAAAAAAAAACTATGGAACACACACAACAAAATTAAAATTAAAATAAACTCCCTTTCCATTATAATAATTTTCGAAATTAGAATTTCTCATGTATCCTTGTAACACAGATACAAAATGTAAAGAAATGAGAGGAGGGCCAATTACCTCCTTCTTTTGAAAGTCGTTTAAAAATACACATTTTTTATCAATAGACTATGTAAACATCCCGTGCCAACCGCGCGATCCTGTGTTGCCAACAGTTTAAGATGTCATTTATCACCGGACCGAACTTGGCGCAACTTTTATAACGCTTTAATGTAATTTTGACTGCAACCTTTTAAATGTTTTAAAGCACTTAGCGTTGATTTCAAATAAATCGAATTAGGTTAGAGTGCTCGGGTCCGACGCCATTTTGAAAAATAAATCTTTATTTTTTTTATTCCGTCATTGTAGTAAGTACCTCACTCAGTTAGTAATTACCTAAAAGTATACTTATTTTTAAACATTTAAAATATTGAGACGTCTGTTAATCGTATTGGAGTATCTAATTAGATTTCATTAAAATTTCTACGATATAATTCAATACCTAAGCATGCATACTATCATATATACCATAGACAGAGATTAAAAATGTGTGTGTTTTATGTAGGTAGGTAGGTACCTATATAGACTTGTATTTTACGTGTACTCCTGAAGGTCTAACTTATAATCTAATGTATATTTTATCTTTAGACGCCATTTAAAAGCGGTCTACATAATTGATTTTCGTACTTTTAAAAATATTCGTACATAGTAACGAACATTATGTAGTTTCTTAGATTATATAGATAGAACATCGAGTCTCAAAAACGGGTTAACTTTTTATCAGCTAATTTGAAAATTACCTGACTCGTTTTTTTATTAGTGTTCGTTATACTTATTGTATGCACAATGTATCTTGACATATTATTTAATAAATAATACGAGTATTTACGCATTAAAAAGATATAGAAATTATAAGACAAAACAAATATACAAGTTATAAAGCAATCACTAATAAATTATTTATCACACTAAATTGTATGAAAAAGTTGACTCCCTTTTTTCGAAATATTTGTATGGAGATATCTACATAATCTAAGGCTAGTTCGTAATAAATGTATAATCGGAGTGGTATGAATTATATAAATAATCATAATAATTTCTTTGAATGGTACACACACGTGATAATTAAGTGTTGTAGGTATCCACTATATTACAAAGACAAAACTCGTGCATAACACGAAAAGTACGAAACTTTCCTGCGCAGTTTCCTTGTTCAGACGAAAAAAAAAAAAGAAAATGGCGGCGACATTGTTTTCGGCGACAGAGCGGGGCTAAGCTGTTACATTAACCTCTCGACGGTGGCTGTTAGTTAACATTCGTGGAAGTACGCCGGTGCAATGTTAGCTCGTACGGTCAACAAGTACCTATCTGTAGGGCTGTCAAGTTAGAGAAATTTCATTAAAATAGGTTAATTACAATATTGCAAAATGTATTCATATTGGTGCAAATTCGTTGTAATAGTTTAAATTAAATACGTTTGTACAGTTGTAGGCATGTTTAAATTGCGTGCTGATTACTTATTTAAAGAAGTTTAAACCAAATAATGTAATTGCATACTTATTAAAAGTTCTATTAAAAAAAGTATTCATAACAACGAAAACAAACTATCCAATTAAATCTAACATAATTAAATTTAAACTCTTAAAAAAACAGAATGATTAAAATCGTCTTACAACCCTAAGCGAAAATTCCTCAATTATTACCAATTGCATTGCATTTTGTACTTTATCGATGAGTGCTAAGATACAATATTGCTTGCAATATGCCGACAGGCTTTTAAGGAGTAGCGTGAACATGATTTGGTATTCAGCAGGACTCCACCACGTGTTGCCTCGGGTTCAAGGCCTAGTAGAGGAACCATGATATTTGGCGAGTTGATGACATGAACGAATCCTTACGGGCCCGTAGCGAATACGTAAATAGGCTTGTGTTGAGAGGGGAATATTGTAGCTGTATTATTTTTAACTAACGTCCAAAAGGAAAGTCAAAACGTTAGGCATTTCTAGTCTGTTTCAATGGAACTTAATGAAAATGTAAACAAACAAATGATTATTTTATTGAACTAGGTGTTATCTTGCGTAAGTCTATATCACTGGTTATTCGAATAGAATTATTTTGTTTAATTCCGCTACAATTACTATGTGTGTGACTGCCAACAGTCGAAGATTGACCACCAATATTACTACCAGAAGTTCCACAATCTTCCAAATTAACCATCAACCTTCGACTGTTAAAAAAATAATTGACCTGATCATAACATAGTCTGTTGATGTCCTATAATATATACAAGTTGAAAGTCGATTATTTAATACAATGTTTCTGTTTATTACTAAATTCTTTTAAAGAATTTTTTTTTTGTGATAATATGGACAAAATTTCTTTTTCTTTTTTATTTTTATCATTAAGTTCTTTTAGAACACTTGCATACATTTACATCGCTAATTATAAACCAATTTCATAATTCCTTTTCCAATCTCATATTCTTTTTGTTATGATTGCCTTTCTTTAACAGTGTTACTAGTCCATAAATTCGTTATCATTATTAAAAGCAAATGATTTCGTGTGTTTTTCAATTACTTTATTTCTTACATAAAAAAATCATTATTTAAAAAAAAAATAACATATTTTGTAATTTTGTTTACCTAACACACATTTACTTATTAATTATATCTTATAATATGAACTAACTTTTACCCGTGAATTCGTCCATGTGACCAGGATATGTTCAGTGATCCGGATACAAATACGTACAGTACCTACCTATGTACAAAATTTCGTGGTGATTAAAAAGTAACAAACAAACTCACCTTTATTTATAATAATAATAAAGATAAACTAGTATAAATGTAAAAATTAAAAAAATAACAGAATTATTTTTTATTTCGAAAACTATTTAAATCCTCAATAATTTTCACGGGAGCATTGCCACAGCAGCCAAGGGTGAGGTATCGATCCCGAGCCTACAGGAAGCGGGCGTGCTTCCGTTCGGGAGGGGTGTGTTTTGAAAAATTGGCATCCACCGTCGGTCCACAACCTTTTTGCTTGCAAAACACACAAAAATAAACCTTAGCATCTACAAAATAAAAATATGCCCAGAATGCGAGGCCTCTGACTTGAATAACTACACAGATTTTGTGGTGTTAGAACGGTGTTCTGATTTATCTTGTTTTTCTGTTTTTGTATATATACCATTCAAAATGAATGCCCTTTATTGTATTCATTTATTTAGTACTACGTAGAGAGGTATGTACTTTAGAACAGTTTATATATATCGGTTTCGACGTTATTAGTAAGTGAAAAATATATGTTCGATTTAAAAACAAAAAATTGATATATTTTTATAATAAGCTCTAAATGTTAACGAGAAAACTTTATAATGACGCAGAAACAACCCTTTCGGCATAACAATTAAGAGCAAACACGCGGAACTGAGAAAATATGAATTGTTTTAAAACGTACCTACTACCGAGTTATAGCAATATTACAGTGGAACAATTACCGAGGCGGGGTACCTACTTGTTGGGAATAACGGCATTATGGTGAATCCCATTTGGTAAGGAACCCTTCGGTAATTTTATTTCGTCTCAACTATGAGGGTAGGCGAACAATTTGTAAGGCGTAACGTTGAGGCGGGAAAAGACTGTCATCACGGCCGAGAAAAAATATGTATAGACAGCTAGGAAGAAACGTCATATCTCTGGCGGAACGTTAAGCTGAGTACACAGAGCTTCTTAGCTGTCTGTTTATATTAATTTGAATCGACGACACATTAAGATAGATAAATAATTTATTTGTATCTATATTTACATTACACAAATAATAACAAACAGATGAACATGCACTAAAAGAAAAAAAATGTAAAAAAAAGGAAAGTAAATAAGAAAGGCACATTGTTTCGTGTGAGTGCCACAGTAACACAAAATGGACACAAGTCAGTTTATTGCTTTGCCCTCAAAATGGCAACACTGATTTTCTGTTGTGGCCAAAAACAGTAATATCTCATGCGATTTATTTCGAGTTTATTATTTTATGTAAGTAATATGTATTAGTAATCATATTTGTACGTGACATTGATTGGATACTATCATAATTCATAGACTGTACTTCATCATCATATTAGCCTCTAACCGTCTACTGCTGAACATACATACATGAATCGAATTCAATGATTCTTTTGCAATAATTAAGTTACTCTCATGTTGGTTCCATATAAAGTTCCATATTAATTTGTATCGCAATTGGAATACATAATTTCATGTTTAAGTTAAGCAAAATTTTTAATTTAGACATATTTATATAGACATTATTGAATAATAATTTTATTATTAGAAATAAAATACACAACATCGTATATCATGCAATACTTTTTTTTTTAATTAAAAGAAACAAAAATCTACATACATTCTAGTTTAAACAATGCACTATTTCACGCAGTACCTAAATTTAAGTCGAATATTAGCTTTTTAATTAGACCTGAATTATAACGCAAAAGTATACTAATATGCAGCCAGTGTAAACACATCTCTATGAACCCTGCCTATTTTTGCGAAGGGTTTTGCGAGGGTTCGAATAAAATATTGTCGGCAACATTCTACCGATTCTGTTGAAGGCCGAAGCAATAATATTATGACATATTGCCTCTTGTATGAGTTGCGACCTCTTTGAACACGGACTGCTTGAAAAAAATTCTTTTTGCTCTAATATTCGAGAATGTTTATTGTATTTTTATATAATATATAAGTATATACATACACCTATGTAAATGCGTCGTAAGAGCCGGCTAAAGGAATAAAGGACCACTCTACATCAGTGGAAAAAAATAAAAAAGAATTTAAAGCTGTATTTCGCCAAAGTAGTAATGATTTTTTTTTAGTGGGTGAAAATGAAATAGTAATCCCGCTTGCGCTAACAGTATACCAGTGAGGATAAAGACAAGTCAATTGGCCCATCGTGACAAATTTACACCAGCAATAGGACTTTTAGATCCCATTACTAACAATCCCTTTCCCCCAGCGTGGTAATGGTATTTAGGTTAATTTTCTATTATTAAGGAAAAAGTTGCACCCAATAGGATGTTAGTAAGTAGTTAAAATATATACCTCGCTAAGCAAGGTATAATACATAAAAAATATCCTTAGGTATATAAACATAACTATATTCTCGTTAAGGTAATCTTGTAAATCTAACAAATTAGCTATTCAGAAATAAAAGTACTTCGCATGTACATAAAGCAAGTTACTGCAATTGAAAAATGTATTTATGATTGAGTAACCAGATACAGGACTAATGTAACAAATGTGTATTTATTTCAGCATTAAACTTTTTACATTCATATAGGCGCAAATGATCGTCGTCCTTGTATTTATTACTTCTTTTTCATTATTATAGAATACTAAATAGCAAACATTGTTTTACATTCTGTCGCCACTTATCAAGATTATTCCTTTCTTACCGAGATAAAAATATTTTTCTTCCCTAGTTGAAAAAAACAATAATTACATACTCATTTATAAAATTTCAATAATTCCGTTTGAGGATTTTGGAAATTAACGGAACGAACGTCGTAGCACACCGTTTTTAAATATTTAGAGTACTCACTACTTTGAACAAAAATGTCAATAAAAATAATATGACAATAAGTTATCAAAGCGTCTACACTATGAACAAGGCTTATTTCGTTGGCGGGAAGGCGCCATATTGCCATCGTCATGACAGTCGGCGGCGGAAGTGACGCGCACGTGAGGCTACTTCCGGGTACATGTTCCGTTTCACGCAATTCAATGTCACAATATTTTGTCCATTCAAACTCCTAGCTAACTTATAGGCCGTTTTTAGCTTTTGTCTATGGTCATGAGGGTAAAAAGTTTGGGGCGGTTTGTTACTTACATTTAAATGTTAATTTAATAATATGGTAATATATCTTAAAAACAAATATATATATATATATATATATATATATATATATATATATATATATATATATATATTTGTTTTTAAGCGTTTTTAAGTTTAATAATTGGTAATACAAAAAATGACATTTAGGAAAAAGAAATGCTTTACAATTATTATTTCATCATATCAGCCTTTAACTGTCAACTACTAAACATAACTTTCTCTTTGAGGGATTTGCCAGTAGTTGGTACACTTGGCGATTGGCAACCGCAATTAGGCTTTGGTGACTTTTTAAGAGGACTTTGCTGCCCAACTCTCAAACATTTTCTTAGGTGCCTCTTGCGACATCCACGGGAAAAAAAGGGATGACCCATTCTATGTTGGGACCACGCGGCATAGATTTACTTAATGATTCAGTCCAATTTAGAATAAATAAAAAAATTTCGACTGTTTTAGATATTATTTTAATTATTGAAGTACAGACAAATCAAAACAAATATTAAATACTAGTTTTTAGCCACGATTTCATTCGCGTAACCAGAATACAAGTTTCATAACGCTTGATTAAGCTGGTTAATTACGAAAAGATAACAAATAAATAATAAGAGAATTTGAGGAAGCCGCAATTATAGAACAGATTTAAAATTTTTATCATACTTATAAATACATAGATAAAGAAGATAGCTAAGGAAAAATATTATAATAGACAGTTCTTTTTTCAAATTTTTTTTACAAATACTAATTTAAATATTTTCATCAGGTATGGTTTTCTAACCGGCGAGCAAAGTGGCGTCGCGAGGAGAAACTTCGGAGCCAGCGGAGGGACGCTCCAGCGGCGTCGCCCCCTGCGCCCCCCGCACCCCGCCTGCCCCTAAATGGGGGGTTCAACTCCATGTATAGTCCCATACCGCAACCTATTGCTACCATGGGTGATTCCTATAGGTAAGACTAATTGTTTTAGTTTTATATGGTACATTAATGTCATATTTCACCAAAGTTAACGCTATGAAATCTAATACACTGTAATGACCTACGAAATTCTTCTTTATTAAATATCAATTACATAATTGATTAATAATTTTTACGGATTGCCAAACAATAATTTTATCTACTAAAGGTACTTAATGGTGTGTAATTAAAAGTTCGAAATAATATTCTTGTTTTTAAGTTTAAAATAAGTAAGAAAATTACTTATATTTAACGGTTAAACTTATCTAAATAATCTAATTTTAAATAATAATATATTCATTAAATACATTTATTTTTTTAAACACTGAAAAATAATAAATGAGAAATCATAAGGAGTCTGCCTTATACATAAGGTGGCGCCATCTATCATCGAGCAGTGACACTAATTAAATTGCGCGCGAAATCGACCGGCAAAGGTCGCGCCTTCTTGCGTTTCCCGCCATTGCACCGAGACGTTCCGAAGTTGTGAACCGAAGGTCGCTCGACTTTCCACTCGAATTGATTTTTAATAGTGAACTACGAGCTTTAGCTTTTGTCGTCGAACAAATTAACTTAGCCGAACGAGAAGTTTTCCATTTAGTTTGGTCCGTGGAATAAATTTTATACTTACCTACTTGCTTTTTGTTCTATACGTTACTGACACCTCTATTTCTTGGATAAAGAAAGAAAGTATTTTAGATCAAACAGAATGAATTATTATGAAAAGAATTCACAATGATCAAAAGTAAATATATGAATTTTGTTTCGACTGATCGCCTCGTATAAAATATTCTGGAGCGCGATTTCTAGAAAAATATGATAAATAAGTATATAATTCTACACAGATATAAAACAAATCTTTGCCGAAAGTTTCAACTTTTTAGCTACTGCTATTTGCCTTTGACATATGTATAGGAAAATATTTTATCATTAATGTATCAGTTTGTGTAAAGGAAAATATTAAAGTTGCTGCGCCCAGATAGTTTATTTTAATTATATTGTGGTTTGTTTAGTCTAGGGCAGCTCAAAATTTGTAGGTTCATGTTATTTCACCACAATCCTGTGTTTATAATTTTTTAGATAGCTTTGCTCTTGTATTTCATTCTAATGATTAAAATATCTATTATACAGATAGATTTTACTAGAGGGAACTTTGCAAAAGTCGTCTGCATGGCTACCTCTAAACCATAAATGTTTCTACTGTTACGCAGCTGTGCATGCTTGGCTGTGTTTCAGTATGAAGGGTGGGATATTATAGTCAAATTACAAGGTACAAACTAATGCAGGAGTAACAAAATATGACAGGTACCATGAAGTCATATATATTCTGTGTTTTATTTATGTTACCGCATATTGATGCTTACCGATTTCCATCAGGTGACCTATCAGCTTGTTTGTAGTATAAATACTATTAATTTGTAAATACTATACAGGAAAAATTGAAGTTATTGGCATCCTTATATAAGAGAGCTTTTCACCAGTAAGACTACACATTTTCAACAAACGAATGAATGGAAAGAATGACAAAATTTTTTATAGCTTTCGATACTAACCCAGGTCCACCTATTTAATTAGTAAGGAAGGCTCAAAATTTTGTTGTTTTTTATTTATTTATTTTTTTATCAAGAAATCTCTATCTTAATATATTACATACTTTATATACTGCTTACAACTTCGTTGTCAGTCTGTACATAGATATAAATTCTACATACGATTTATATTCTCTTCCACACGTACATACACACCTACTATAATTTATTTTCTTTATTCATCGTCCGCCGTATTGACAGTGCGCTTGGTTCCGACAGCTCCATGTCGGGCGGGCTCACGTCGTCGTGCCTGCAACAGCGTGACGGCGGCTACCCGTACATGTTCGGTGACGTGCTCGGCAGCGGCGGCTACTCGCGGGCGCCCGCCGCTCACCAGCAACACGCCGCCTACTCACAACCGCAAGCCGCCGCTAGTACTGGTGAGTGAATTGTTCTTTTACTTCTTAAACTACAGGTTATGGAATGAGCTCCCTGTCGGGGGTTGTCCAATAAACTACAGCGTGAGGTTCTTCAAAAAAAGGATAAAGAGGTTTCTTCAGGGTCGGCAAACCAGGCGTAATTCCCATCGGTATTGCAGGCGTTCATAGGCTACGGTAACCGCTTGCCGTCAGATGGGCCGTATGCTTGTTTGCCACCTCAGTGGTATAAAAAAATATAAACTATCCTAATAAGGCTAGAGGCTAATTCTGGCTAATTGAAACCACTGACTCCTATAAATATGCTATTGTATCAATATTGTTATCTATTATTGTCATAAGATAGCATATGCGGTTAATAAATAATTTATCGAATTTCCGCCATAACTTTGATACAATACATAATAATTTTTAGTAAAATCATCATTGTCAATACCTTTGTATTTGCTGATAAATGTAGGCAGGCATTTAATCAAATGTACACCTATTCAGTTTCAAATTATCCCAAAACAAATGTTGCCTATTACTACAAACTTAAGTACCTTTTTCGTTTGAGATAGGACAGAAAATAAACAAATTAAATCAAGGAAATTGAATTGCAAACCACGAAATATATTTACCAAATAGGTAAATACGTAATAAAATGTAAAAAAAATGCTGACACAAGACCGAGGGGCGTCTGGATCGCGAGACCACGACATGACGAAGAAACAAAAAAAAAATAAGAAAAAGAGGGAAAAATAGAAGCTCGTGGCCCGATTGGATTTACCATTGTCTGTTCCTTACAAATGGCTTTTAAATTGATTTTGAATATCGAACCGTTTTCATTAACAAATACGTAGTGAAATGGCGAGCGACCTATTTAATTTTCTTTTCTTTATTTTCGTGTTTACGCAGTGAAATATGCAGCTGTATCGTGACAGAATTTAATTTTAGATAATTCATCGAAGTCGTTGATTTTTGCCAAACAGAGGGGAACCAACAAAAACTGTTACACATAAATATCATAGATTCATTATTCAGAAAAAGAACAAACCAGGAGGCGTTGGCGTTGGCATTGTTTTAAAAAGCAGTAACTTTCCCATTTGATATTATATATCATGTGGCGGACATTTTTAGCCGTAGGTGGCGGAAAGCGGTATGAATTATTGTTGTTTGGGGCGTTTCGCGGCATTGTTCCACTGCCGAGTTTTCAGCGCCGACCGCGAACAAAAGAGTTTTTCACAATTCAAAATGCACGCTCGCGTTTCATTTAGCCTTTTGCGCTCTTTCGACGGGTGCATTTCCAGCTTCGTGCGGTATTAAATAATGCGGATTTGTTCTACTTTTCCATTTTCAGCTCCATTCTTTTAGGAGTCCAAGAGTAGGTACCTACCTTTTCATTTCAATCATTTTCTTTATTCATTATAAGGATTACAATTAAATCTTCATTATTTTCATATATATTGCAAAAAAAATCCTTTACCAAATGTATGTTGAAAGTATAAAATTAGATTAAACTTAGCGGAAATTGAAAACGGTCATTATAATTTATTAGAAAACCGTTGACACAAATTTTAATTGTCTCATGAATGATTGTTTTAATTAAATTAATTATATGTTTAACCTCTCTATGTATTTATAATGCAGCTGATTTATTAAATATTAAAGTTTGTGATATATAAAATAATATTACAGCTTAACCTGTAAGAACGATAAAAGCAACAAATTAAATGGTTCACAACATAGTAAGCATCATAAACAAGTGCGAGGTCATAGACACAATCCATTGAATAAACGAGTCTCGTAGGAACGTCGGTCGGAGCCGATAATAACGTGTAATGAATGTAAACGTTACCCCTTCGCGCGACGATGGTGGAACGGAAAACTGTTATCGCGGCCCCGCACGCGGCGGGGGCGCGCTAAGCGATCGGGGAAATAATTATTTTAAAGGAGTTAGTTTATATAACCTAGATGCACCGTTTGACAATTCAAAAAGACGTGTCGAACACACGCTTTGTTTAAAAATGTAAAAAAAAATACTTTACACCGTGCAATAAAATAATGTAGATAACAATAAATGCATCGATCTTTTTCGTTTAATTTTAATTGTGGCTATGAGAAAGGTAAAACTATAACTATTATTCATATAAACTTTATCTTGTAATCATTAGAAGAATCAAAGCAAATTCTTACAAGCCTACTGTATGTATTTATTATTATTTTTTATTAGATTTAACCTTTGTGTTTGGCATCTTTAGATTATGCCTATTCTAATTAAGTACTACAAACGACCAGAAGACGCCCAGAAGGCTGGCCTATACTTTGATCAACGTATTTCCATAGCTATTCAGCGTGGAAATGCAGCAAGTCTCCTAGCTACCCTACCAGCTGGCAGTGATCTGAAGGAAATTTTTTATCTTTAACTATTTAAAAATTTATTCCTTTAGAAACATTTATTTAGATAGATATCTAGTAATATAATATTTATTAATTAGTTTAATACATAATAACCTTCAGTACTACAAAAACATTTAGATTTCACTAAGTATTGTATATTTTCCTATAAAAAATTTTGTATAATAATAAGAATTAATATTAGAAAATACTGACATTTCATGCTTAAATGCATTCGCCGTATTATCATTTTGAAGATTGACATTGCCTATTAATTACAATGAAATCTCAATAAAATTTTTAATTTGCCTCTAGTTTTATTGTAAAGTACAAAACAACCTCCCTAACTTATGCACATCGCTACACATAGCCACGTCTCGTCATAGAGCTGTTGATAGCTTTATGACTGGCGCAGCGGGACATAATCGAAGCGGGCGAACACCACGCCAGATAACGCGATTGTGTGTAATAAACGGAATGCAATCGGAATCCTATTAGACAGACGGCGATACTGATACATGATGTTAATAGGTTTCGTATTAGGCAGTGTAAGCATGTCGCTGTTCTGTTTGGTGGATTACTAGACAATGTTGATTCGTAAGATCCTTGTTACAATTCATGGTTTCATTATTGGGCACAGACCTATGATTGAAGGTCTTTTTCAACCGACTTCAAAAAGAAAGAGGTTCTCAATTCGGTTGTATTGGGGGGAAAGGGATTGTTAGTAATGGGGTCAAATAGCCCTATTACTAGCAATATACCCTGTCAGGTCGACCTCCACGTGGTTCCCCCTGGAAATTATCGTGACTAATTCTAGTTTAATTCGTTTAAGGATGGGCTAACTGACCTACTTTCATCTTCATCTGTCATCTATCACTGGTACCCCGCCAGTGTATACCAATAGCGCAGACGGGGTTACCATATCATAATCACTCATTAAAAAAAAAATCGGTTGTATTTTTTATGTTTGGTACCTCATAACTCCGTCAGTTGTAAACCGATTTGTTTTAATGAGTTACAATGGAATGGTAACTCCGCCTGCTCTATTGGTATACACTGGCAGGGTACCAGTGAGAGACGACAGATGCGGATGCAAACAGATCAGTTAGCCCATCCTGACAAATTCAACTATTATAGAATTGGCCATAATGGTTTTCAGGGGAAACCGCGTAAAAGTCAAGATAACAGGGTATATTGCTACTAATAAGACTATTTAACCCTATTACTAACACTCCCTTTCCCCAGTTGTAAACCGATTGGACCCATAGAAATTTTATCAAAATCGGTTCAATAGTTTAGTTTTTAAAACAAAATAATTAGTTTGGCCACAATTGAATTCGGTCTGTTTTTGTGGAACATAATCTTAATTATACAAGCTTTTAGTTTTAGTACGTAAGTCTTTTCGTCCATTTGCAACCTATTTTTTAACCAATTGTTGGCGTTCAATAATACTAAAATCTGGAATAGATTAAAGTTAGTTTATCTGTGAAGACTTAGTAATAATAATAGTTACTTGTCTTTATACTTATTGTTATATTTATTAGGTACTTACCTACCTATCTATATTACAATGTATAAAGGATTGCTCCCGGTATTTGCCAACACTTTTTATTTACTTTTGTTTCTTTGTGTCGTAGGTGTAATATCGGCGGGGGTGAGCGTTCCAGTGCAAATACCCTCACAAGGGCCAGACCTCGCATCCAACTACTGGGGGCGGCTTCAGTGATCTCAGCTATTCGGGTTCCCGCATCGTCTACTCTCGATGCCTGAGAACCCGACCAATGTGCCCGAATCGCCATCTAGCGGTGAAATCGCGCACAACTACGCAGATTTGTCTATGAACGCTCTAAACATGACAGCCGGACACGACGCCAATGTTTTGGCGGCAGATTTGCAACAAGAACAAAACAATTCTGTATCGTAAAACCTTCAAGACTGTAGCGTCAAATAGGCATTTGGTTACCAGTGAATTTTATTTCCTCAGTGTTTAAATGGTGCAACATAATAATTATTTATGTGAAAATATGTCTGCATTATAAATTACGATACAATATTATTAAAACGCAACTGATGATGTTCAAACCTAGTGGTAAGTAAGCGACCATAAGCAATGAACCGTGTTACAAAATTATTTATTACTGCAATTATTTTCTGTATTTAGTAGAAAAGATTGTCTTTATTAGTTAAAGTAGTCAAATAATACATTTCATTGCTTGTGCTCCAAAAAAATAGTAAGCTAGAAAAAATGAAGCGCAGTTAATGTACATATAGATAAGCGCCATCTATTGTTGAGTAGAGGAAGTTTCGTTACTGCGGACGAAGCAGGATAGGCGGGAAAATAAAATCTAAATTGTTTGTGCCAACATTTGTAATAATTGAGTATTATAGGCCCTTACAAGCACAACCCTTTATTTCTTTGATGTATGTGTTAGGGTGCGAAATATTAATGGTACAGTGGAAAGAACTCGGCAATAGGCTTCGTTACAGCGATTTGTTTAGAATCCCAACCCCTCTTAAACAAATTGTCGAACGAACTAATCATGTTTGTATAATTGTATAATAAAATTACAATAATTGATGTTGTAAGCGATGATTTGCAGTTTCATTATTGAACATATACATACTACATGAACCTTAAAACGAATTAATTTATTATATTTATTAGTTGTAAGATCAATTTTGCTGTGATTAAAATGTAGTTTGTAAATGCGGTTACAATATTTTTACCATGAAACGAAGCAAGTATTGGATTAGTTACGTATAGACAGTACTAACTTATGTACAAATTTGTATAGGTACATTAATGGTTACGCGGAGGTAATATAACCGTTTGTGTAAATTAATTTCGTATCGAAATGTTATGGTGCCATACAGCACAATTCATCTTTTGCATTTTGATTGAATGTAAAATAATATATTTTGTTTAAAAGTAAATGAATGCAATACGAAGAGGCATAGATGATAGGGTAAACTATGGTGTAATATGTAAAGTAGGTAGTATTAAGTGTAAAATAAATTATTACTCGATTTTAAGTGCATATATAGATGAGAAGATTACCTACAGTGAAATTTATTAATAAATATTGCATTAACCATTACGTGCGTTCTCTTTTATTGTCATTTAGCAAATGACTAGTCACACCCGATATTTGGGTATTATTTCTGAAGTGCCCATAAACAAGACAAACCCCAAGTCATGATCATTTAAAATGACGAATGCGAACACTCGACTGTGTCTAATACTACAACAATATAGAATAAAATATTATTAATAACTTGGGTTGTATCCAGCAGATGTCGCGGATGATTTTCGAAATGCAACCTTAATGCTACAGTGCTGCCACCCCAAAAAACGTGTTGTCCAGGAAATTATGCTGTTAACTGTATTTGGGCGGTACATATTAATTTTGTGTTGGATTTACCGTTTCATGTATATACACACAGATGCAAGTTACCCCTCTGTACAGGGGAGGGCTCACAACAATGGGATGGGATTAACCGTGTTGCATTGTAGGCATTATAGTGATCCAACTAGCGATGGGGTGTGCGTATAGGATGTTTATTTTTTTTTTCCTTAATTTATGGTAAGTACACATGCACTCTTCTCAAAACTGGCTGATAGCGGTAAGTGTGCAACATACTTAATATTATTAAAATTTCTATTTCTAATATCACAGTTACATCATATATAAATTGCTCAAGAAAAAAATATACTTGGTATCGTACTATAAACATACTTCAATAAATATCTTTTAATTCCAATTTGTGTAGAACTTTCTGAAATGATCCGCTTGATGTAAAACCCTTAAGATTAAGGTGGTTTTATATCTACTTTAAATTCAGACTCGGAATCTCGTGTGGTTTGTGCTTATAAATATAAAAATCCAATAAAATTATTATATACACAAAAAAAAAAAATTAAGAAATTGCTTCATACTTTCACAATATTCTTCCTTATTTGGAACATTTATGAAATTATGAAATAATGAAAATAACAACATTCAGACTTATGAGTTTATAATCGGGTACCATTCTAGAACAAGAATATAAAAATAGTTTAAATAGTATTTATAAACATCTTAGTTTTAAAATAGATGAAGTCACTACGATGCACATTCGTTATACAAGTCGAACTGCATATCTTTTAATGAAATTTTCAAAACATCCGTAAAAGACATGGAACGCATGTGTTTGCCTTTAAATAGTTACACAATCAGATAATAAATTTATTTTGTGCAGTGTATTCCACTGCCCTGAAATGTTTAATTATAAAGAATAAATAAATAACTTGATAAACCTAATAAATATATATGAACACGCTGTATATCTGGTAGTCCGGTATAATGGAATTCTATCAAAAACACGCAAGTGAAGTCGTTCAGTGGTACCCCCGGCCATCTCTCGAGGTAAACAACAATTGTACAGATTATCAACGCTTATAATTGGTTTAGATTTTGTCTCTCCTACTGTCCCCTTGCTATAGACGACACGAGAGCATCTGTGTTTGACTCTATAACGGTTATGCTATTCAAATTTAAGTACTATTTAAACTATAAAAAAAAAGAATCCAATTAATTCATGTGTGATAAAAAGATTTTCTAGAAGTATACAGTAGTTCTTTAGTATAATTGTCGTTAGAAAAAAAAATAAACATATTCAGCATACATTTTATTTAAGCTAAGCAAACACAGTACTTATTCAAACATCACAATCCTATGCAGTCTTAGTAAAATATTTAGTATAAAAAGGTAATATAATATTTATATTTTCATTACATTATAAAAAAAAAATACAAAATAAAAAAAAGAAAACAAGTGCTAGGCACATCAAGGATTGCACTAATATTTTCACATAATTTACAGATTATTAAACATTTTTTTTTTTTTTATTTTAGGCACAGTTAGCAAATCTATAACCTCACGAAATGTATATTAAGAACAAATAATTCAAAGACTATTTAATTCTATAATACTCGACTTGCAATTTTGCATGCGCAAAATCATCCATAGATCAAACATTATTGTCTATGACTTTCTATTTATTTTATTTCTTTGTTATCATGTCATTTTGTTCAAGTAGATTGCCACGAACTGTACTCACTATATCGAGTTATATTTTAATTAAAAAAAATATATACATATTTATTCATCAAATTTCGAATATCATAGTTAACATTAGAGGTCGTAATTATAATTTTAGGTGTGTTTCCAAGAAAATAAGTAACAAGCGTTATTTAGAAATATCTAATATTAATTCTATGTACATTTTACAGTCTGAACTTATACCGGGGTACACCCTAGAACTATTCAGCAACTAAAAGCACCAGCACAATGATACCCAGTCTTCTATATTTACAGGCTACAATAATCAATATATCGTTATGAAAAAATATGAAAAAAAAAAAAAACTTTTCCCCAATTATACAATACTAGATTTAGAACTTAACCTAAGTTGTCTATTTTTGCCGTTCAAGGTGATTAAAAGAGAATTCTCATATTATATTTATTTATAACAGTACCTAGTTATGAATCACCTTGACGTTAGTATAAAAAAAACTTAGAGAACATTAAAACCTTATTATAATTAAATATAAAAGATATATTATTACAGATATTTAATAACAAGTTATTAATAATAATTCAAGCTAAAGCTTAATACAACCATCGCTTTAATATTTTTCTAAGCTTAAATTTTACATAACTATGCTAATTATGTAAGAGAAATTATATTACTTAATAATTAGTGTCATTTGGATACTTCAAGACTTTTAATGAATATAAATAATAACCAGAGTGAAATTGAATCCATTAGCATCTTTCTAACAGTGCTTTATTAATGATATATATATTTTAAATAAACATATAATATTTAATATGTTAACAAATTACAAAAAAATTGGGTGTTTTATATAGATTGTGCATTCAGTTGCCATATTGACTTTATTAAATTTTAATTGTTAAATTTCATTGGCGAAACACAGCCTTGAATGATGTCAATGGGGTTAATTCTGAAGCGCTATTTCTCTAAATCTGTCGGTAAATTTAAAATTTCAATTTGATATCACAGAGAAATTGTTCTACGTACCAATATGAACTAAATTTCTAATACAATAAAGTTAAAATTATTATATAGTTTATGATGGTACATAAAACAGTAAATTAGCAAAACTATCATAAATATTAGGATAATATAATAGATAGGTTTAGAGAAATGATGCCTCAGAATCGACCCCAATGATTTCAAATTAATACAGTATATAATTTTTCTGTTAAGCCTAAGAGTGTAAATTCTAATAATATAGTTGTATAAAATGGCGTAATAGATGATTACGAGATAGTCTTTCGAAAGAGTGAATCGACTTAGAAGGTGATGTGTTAAAAAAGCTAGTAACACTAAATTACCCTGACACAGGTTATTTTTTTATACTAGATTTAAATTAACTATATGCTTGCATACATTCATGTTTTTATCCCATTAGACTCCAGTGGTAGTATTTATGAAGGAATTGTTAGTAATTGGGATATTAGTTCCCATTGCTAGCTATAGTCCCTGTCAAATTGACCTTCAAGCGACCTTTCCTGGAAGCTATCGAGGTTAATTCTTAGGGAATTAATAATTGGCTTTCACTTGAATTTATTTTTATCTATCATCCTACAATGCCCTGCTATGTACAGCGTAATAGCGTAGGCGGGGTAACCATTTTATTTTCATCCGGTCAGAAGGACCTATGTTCCTTAGGGAATGTCATTTAAATTAACAAATACTACCGTTAGATTTAATTTCTTTTCCTAACACCCTTTAATTAATATCTAGTGATTATTGAAAATAAAAACAACCATGTAATTGAGCTCTCAGTCCATTAAAAAATAGAACTTAAACGTTAAGAAAATTAAAATCTAGTGACCTTGTTAATTAAAGATAGAAGTGTAGAAACTCGACTCTATCAGTAAGTGACCTAGTATTAAGATGTAAAGATGAAATCGTTAGGAAACTTTGAAGGGAATCAAAAAAATCAAAATCATTTATTTGGATCATTTTGTCCTTCTTCCTCCTTCTCCAGCGAAACTAAATATTTTCACCAAAGAACCATAGGTCGAAAGACTATAAAAAACTTTGAATCTCCCTCATTATCACGGCGTTGAGTTATTATCTCTCAAATATTTTTATTGTTTTTGAATTTTCAATTTAACTCTCTGTCTAATATATAATTTAGAGTAGGAGACATTTTTACCCCCTTATTCATAAAAACGTCAAGCCTCATATACCTACTTCAGTTACTCTCTTTCTTTTACTCTAAATTGAAAGAAAATGACAAAATTGTGTAATAGATAAAATAGGTTTGTAGAAGGTTTGTTATTATGAATAAAGTGGTTAGTTTCATGTGTTGGTAGGGATTTCCATTTTATTTTGTATAGACAATATAATTATATAAGGTTGATTGAGAACTATACAAAATCAAAATACATACAAGTAACTACAATAAAACAATGACACGTGTAAAATAGTACTAGTCAACGGCCTACACTAATGAGAAAGAGACACCAATCATGCTATCTCGCTCCTTTTTGCACATACAATAATTTTTATATACGCAAGTAGCATAAAGGCCATTTCACATTGCAAGTAACAAACGTTAACCGTTTTAGGAACGAAAAATTCAGTCAGTCGCTAGTATTACTATGTTTATGTAAACGAACAACCTTTTAACTTGGGAATCGAACCCAGGACTGTTCCTAAAATAGAATATAAAATACTAATTTATTTAGTACATAGTAAAGTTTGGAATGGTATCGATATGTAAGTTCTTACATGAATACACAGTGATATATGGTAGATTAGGACAGTAATGGAGTTCTTTCGGTGTACAACGGTCGATTGCCTTGTGTGCTATTATATCTTTGCCTGGAATAAGAGTAAAAAACCATTATAATGTTTAAATTGTTGATCTCTTGGCTTTGTAGCAGTTGCCATGCCCCCGACACTGGTTTTATTTTATTACTATTATAAGTAATTACAAAATATTGCATGTTTTTTATCCGGTAGAGACACGAACCCATATAATACATATATATAAAATGTTTACAGTAACCGCCACTGCCTAACAGTATACGCTGACGGGGCGTCAGTGAGGGATAATAGGCGAGGATGGAAGCAGGTTAGTTAGCCCATCGTGATAAATTCACTAATCAAGCAATCACGATGGTTTCCAGGGGGAACCACGAGGAGGTTGACCTGATAGAGCATATTGCTAATAATAGGATTGCTAATCCCTATTTTTTTTTATGGGTGAAAATGGAATGGTAACTCCGCCTGCACTAACGGGATACGCTGGCGGAGCACCAGTGAAGGGTGATAGATGAGAATGAAAACAGGCCAGTTAGCTCATCATGATGAATTCATCAGGAACCATGATAGTTTCCAGGGGGAACCATGACGAGGTCGACCTGGTTGGGTATATTGCTAGCAATGGGATTCTCAGTCTCCATTACTAACAATCCCTTTCCCCCCTGCTAATCCCTATTACTAAAAATCCCTTTCCCCCTTAGCAGATGAATTATACGGTGATGAATGAACGATGTATTGATAATAAGTATGTACAGAGAACAAAATCAGAGTACCAGTTGAAATACAAATGGAACAGTGGTATGGCACCTACCGGTGTCCCAGTTCTGTCATTCGTTAATGTTCTTGTCGCCAAGTAGCTGGTTGAATTAAATAAAGTTCAGTTATTTGACAACTTACCGATTATTAATGAGGGTGCTATAACCAAGTGGTTCTGGCATCCTGGGACGAACGCTGCGTGGAGGTGGGGGAAATGGTGGCCTTCCCCTGTTGTGGAATTGTTGGACGAGGAAACCAGTTATCGATAGCGTCACCCAGATTGAAGTAACTAGCGCATCTAGAACGAAAGGACGATTTGTTAATTGATCTGTATCTTTGCTTAAGGACCCATTAACATCCCACTGCTGGGGATGGGCTACAGGTTCTACAAGATATAGCACTATTACAACCTGCGTTGTCAACAATCGTGGTGGGATACCAGTGAATTTAACGATAAGATTGAAGTCAGGTCAGTTGGCCGATCGTAGTGTTTTTTTTTTACAACACAGGAGGCAAACGAGCATGCGGCTCACCTGATGGTAAGTGACTATCGCCGCCCATGACCACCCACAATACCAACGGCACTGCAGGTGATATTGTGTTATGATGAAGGAAGGGGACTTTGTACAAAAGTCAATTGCTTGAGTACCTTTGTCCCATTCGTGTTTCTACCGTGAAGCAGTTGTGTTTGCATTGCTGTGTTTCGGTTTGAAGGGTGGGATTTGGCGTGAATTTACAGGGTACAGAAGAATAACACCTGAGTCCTCAGAAATGGCAACGCATGGAGGGTATCATAAGCGAAACAGTATACTCTGTTATGTCCATGGTACTGCTCATGTCTATAGGCGACGGTTACCACTTTCCATTAGGTGGGCCGCCAGCTTGTTTGCCATTCTAAGTCGTATAAAAAAAAGTAAATTAGTTAGGAATTAATCTCTATGGTTTTTAGGGAGTGCCGCATGGAGATCGACATAGTGTAGAATAGAAAATAGGAATGAGAACTATAACTCCCATTAATAACAATCCCTTCCCCCTATATACGCTAGTCAGACTTGGTACACAATTTTATTTCGAATTTTTCTTACTACCTCTTGCACTAGTGTATTGTTCTTTCTTTCCTCCTTTTGATCTCCATGGTGTTGTTTATTCTATAGACGACGATTATTATTTTCCATCAGATGAACTGTCAGATTACTCACCATTCTATCACAAAAAAAATGTACTTACCTTTCCATTCAAAAGGCGGTGTCAACACGGCAAATTTGAACTCCGGCACTGTAGCCCTCCTTATTGTATTGATAACGATGTATTTCAAAGTGGATCCAAAGCTATAATCCATGGCGTACACAACTGTATACGCGCCGAGCACAGCGCAGCACAGCATATTAGACGCGAAGGCAACGCACACTAACATGAGCGCGACCAAACACATCATGAATATGAACAGCGTCCAGAAATTAAAGTCGTCCATTAATAGTCTTATGCCACCTAGAATGAATCATACTTTTTGTATCAACATTTAAAATGTTAATTCTAATAACAAAATACATATAAACAAATGACGCACACACTACCCGTTGATAATTTTATTTATTTATTTCATTATTTTACACTTTGTTGCACTATTTCTAAAATAATAAATACAGTTAATTTTAATGAGAAATGTTACAAAAGACGGTTTTATCGCTAAGCGACCTCTTTCAGACAACCTTTGGATAGAGTACATTGAGAAAAAGATAAAGGGTCACGCACTATTTAAAAAAAGACAGTAGAACTTAACAGAGGTTTTGAAGCTAGCGAGAGAATGCTCCATTTCACTGTTGGAAGAGAGCTCTTAAGTTGTTAAGTACGTCTATTGGACGAATAATTTTTAATGGGTGATAATGAAATGGTATAGGCCTATGCTATCGATATACGCTGGCGGGGTATCAGTGCGAGATGCGAGGTGAGGATGAAAACAAGTAAATTATCCCATCGTGACGAATTCCATAAGAAATAACCACAATGGTTTCCAGAGGGAACCACGTCAACCTGATAAAATATATCGCTAACAATGAGACTGTTAGACCCCATTACTAATAATACCTTTCACCATTAAAAATAATTTATATTTACCTGGCAGCTTGTAATAAAATATGGCGGCAACCAAAAAGCCAAGGTTGAGCGCTGGCAGCATGACGGATATTACTGGGATACCATAATACCACCAGAACATGTACCAAATTCCACCGAAGAACACGCCAGACAGTAGGGATGCTCCTAGTAATTCTATGGGAAATAATACATTTCAGTTGTATGGGTATAGGAATAATGAGTGTGTTGTAATGAGTGTCTTATAGAAATTTTATTATTTTTCTGTCTTCTTTATTTATTTAAGATTTTTTATAAAAAATCATTTTATTCAGCAGATCATCAACATCCTTTACTAATAAATGTGAAAGTGTGTCACTATGAAATTTATATATATATATATATATATATATATATATATATATATATATATATATATATATATATATAAATGCGATGGAGAAGGATATAGGCTACTTTTATCGGTAATCAAATTAAATCTTATTAAAGGTCGAGGCATAGGCAACAGTATCCCTCTTAAAATTCACCAAAATCTAACTGTAATTGCCAACCCGCCTGCTAAGCCTGGCTACTACTGGCAAAACGCCCTTATGGGGTGGGGGCTTATGTTCAGTAGTGGACAGTTAAAGCCAAATATGAATAATGAATATATTGCCATACTCACCAGATGTATCTAATTCGACTATCAAAGATATCAATATGTGGGTTATGATGACACCGCTCAATAACCCGAACAGAAACATCTCGGTTTTAAAGAAACGATGCCCAAAGTAGCAGATAAAAACACCCACGAAAAGCATTATTGTACACATAAAAGCAGACAGCAAATCATCTGGAAATGTTCAATTATGTAAAATGGGTAAAATACCTTAAATAGATACTTGTCGGTTCTTAAGGTCTAGTTTCAGGCTAGCATCGCATTAGACCGTTCTTCCGTTGCAGACTGTCTACGATAAAACATCAACATTATAAGAATAAATAGATTGATTAGAAGTAACACTGACATACATTTCTATGTAAATACTATATATGTCCCGTGTGGTCCCGGCGTAGAATAGGCCACCCCTTCCTATCCCGTGGGTGTAGCAACATACCTCTTCAAACATCTCTAAATCCTGACTGCTGTTGCCAATCCGCCTGCTAAGCATGGCAACTACTGGCAAAACTCGACAAGGGGAGGCTTATGTTCAGCAGCGGACAGTTAAAGGCTAATTGTAATTGTAAATTGTAAAAATCTTTATTGTACATAACTCAGATTAAATACTGGTAAATGATTTAATATACAATGGCGGACTTATCCCATAAAGGGATCTCTTACAGTCAACCTTTGAAAAGCTGAAAGAAAACTGTAGAATGTATAAGGGTAATAACCGTACAATTAAAGATAAACTAAATAATACCCAGTAAAAAAAATTGAATATATATCAAATATGATAAATGATATGTATAATACGTTTTTTTAAATATCTGTTCCAGAAGATGTCTTGAATGTGACGCTAGCCTTATATTCAGAGGAATGTCTATAGATAGCAAAGTTGGTTCACTGATCACAGTGTTCGACCACAGGTTAAGTTTAAAGAAGTCGCGTAATGGAATGGAAACATGCAACACTCCGGGTTCAATTCTCGGTAGGGCCAATTTAGTCTAAATTAGTCCCATATATATTATAAAGGTGAACTTAGGATATTTTTATGGATTTTGGAAATGGAAACAAGCTGACAGTTCGCTTGATGAAATGTTTGCATCGCGCCTATAGACATGAACTGAACCGTGGACAATCTGTGATGTATATCGCTGTTGCTTTTTACTTTATGTAACTTGCATAAAAAAATAAATGACTGATAAATGGCATGACATATCAGTAATACTATTTTTTCCCATCACATTTGAGGACAGATTTTATACATCTAGGGGCCTAACTATGACTTTTCTAATATGATTACTATGTTTTCCAGCTCCCTTACATCGTTTCTTTACATGTTTGTTTTATTCTTCTGCGATTATTACTACTATAAGAGTGAGGGTAGTACCCTCTGACAAGAGCTTCTTTCTCTAATGTATGTATATTTCTAATTTGTTTTTTTTTTGTAATTTTTGTAATTTGTTAAATAATTGAATGTAATATTTATAAAATGGTAAATTTGTTATTTTTGTAATGTAGTGTATGTTTCTTTATGCGAAAGTGGATGAGGTAGGTACTGGGAGAGACCTAGACTACAGACCTAGACCTAGAGAGACCTAGACTATCAGATAAACTGTCTTCTATAAAAGAGAAGAATCAAGTCTCCGGAAAATATGTGCATCCATGAGACAAATGATGGAAGTTAATTTCATGTATGTAGGTACTGTTGCACAATTTTTTTTAATATATTACCAAATAATTCGCAGTTGTCCTTCAATGGAATACAGGCATATGTATACGTCGGGGCGTATATAGAATAATATTGGTCATTTTTATCATAAGCCACCGCCACATATATAGAACCAGTGCCATGGTAAGCGCTGACCATGCGTCGCATTGTCCACACAGAACTTGGAATCTAAAACAAAAAATTAAAAAAAAACGGAGTAAATTATTAATTGATTAAAAAATACATCTGATAACTCGTTTCGATGGTATTCGAACCTGTTGTCCGAACTGAGTATTTTGGGATTTTAAAATACCTGGTTACGAATTATATTTTCAAACGTAGAAAGTTTTAGCAAATTCAATATTAGTGCTATACTTTGCGCGGTACGAAAGTCATTAAATTTATACAGAAAAAATAAATTAAAATGTATTAAAATTGTAAAGAAATTACTCATTCAACAAAAGAAAATCGTGAGAAAGTATACATTATAATAATTGGATTCACTTCATATTTAAAATTTCCTAAAATGTGAAAGCTGTTTTTCGCACCATGTTATAATATGTAGAATAGAATACAATATGTATGAGATGACAACAGAATGTCAAACAAATTGACGGCGTATATAATGGAAAATTGTCGTGTGATCCCGCCATAGAATGGACCACGCCTCCCTTTCCCGTGAGTGTGGTTAGAGGCGACTAAATGGGCGGCGAAGGATGAGCAGCAGCGTCCCTCTTAAAACATCTCCAAAGTCTAACTGCGGTTGCCAATCCGCCTACCAAGAATGGCAACTCCTGGCTAAACTCCTCAACAGATATCTTATGTTCAGGCTTATGTTCAGCAGTGTACAGTTAAAGGTTGATATGATGATGATGATGATGTATCAAGATAAAACGTATATCAGATTTTAAATTAGACCTTTAAAAAATATAACTGTGAAAACTGCATCTAATTTGGCACAGTAGTTTTTGCGTGATACCGGCACAAACATAAAGAAAGATCGGTAGGCAAAACTTCTAAAAAATATTGTTTTGGTCTTATTAGGATACCTCATATCAATTGTTCTTAAATATCTCCACGTACAGACATCGTTTAGTTACAATTTTATTATATTAGTAAGATATAGCAACGTGAACTGTCATCATCATCATTTCAGCCATTATCCGTCCACTGTTGGACATAGGCTGTCCCCATAGACTACCATAAGGAACGGTCCTGAGTCACCTGCATCCATTGACTCCCTGCAATGCATTTGAGGTCATCACTCCATCTAGTGGAGAGGTCGTCCTACATTGCGTTTGCTCGTACGGGGTCGCCACTCAAGAAACTTTTCTCCCCGTCCAGCCGTCCGTATGTGACCAGCCCATTGCCACTTCAGCTTGCTTATTACTGTGGTAACTGTGCTATACAAAGAATGATATTGAGTATCAACGAACCTCTTCGGCTTTCTCTCGAATTTTCTCCAGCGACATCATGTCCTTAATGCCTTCGAAGTAGACATCGGCATCAAAATTTCTCTCAGGCAAGTACATTCTATAAAACTTCACTGTAACAGCGCTCGCAGAAAGACAATTGGGGTCTTGGTAACTTTTGGCGGGAGATACCTCAATGTTAATGTAAACTTTGTTAAAATTTGTGAATGTGAATGGAGCTATTGGCACTGATAACTCCATATTGCAACCTCCAGGTATGGGATCTGTAATATAATTATATCGCCATAGTCGTAGAATACTGAAGGATTTGACAAATATTAAATATATATATCCGTCAATATTCTACGACTATGACGATATTTTTAACAATCTTTTTAACCGACTCCAAAAAGAGGTTCTCAATTCGTATTCGTATTTATTTTTATGTTTCTTACCTTATAACTCCGTCAGTATTTTTTTTAATGGATGATAATGGAATGGCAACCCTACAAGCGCTAATGGTTTACACTGGCGGGGCACCAGTGAGGAATGAAAAGGTGGTTTTTTTTTAATGGGTGAAAATGGAATGGTAAACCCGCTTGTGCTATCGGTATACACCGACGGTCCTGAACCGCCCTGGATGCAGGTGGTTCAGGACCGTTGCTGGAGGTCGTCACACTATCTAGTGGGAGGTCGTTCTACACTGCATTAACCCGTACGCGGGTCGCCACTCAAGAAACCTTCTAAATACATATAACTATTATACAGCTCGTATTGAATACAAATAACGTTATTACGTGATGTATGAAACGGCGATATTATTTTTAATCCTCCATGCGTAACATCTCTATTTGGGGTTTCCCCGATTATTATTATAGGTTTACTACTTTTGAAAACAGCTATAATGATAAGAAGAAACTTTAGATTAGAATATAACACCAATATAATAGGAAAATTTCGAAAAAATGATACTACATAATCCGCGTGATAGTAATAGGCTAACGTCCCACAACTATACCATGAGATATATTTCATAGATCTAGAAATGTTTTCTTTTTCTGTATACAGTCGTGCTGTGGGATAATAATGGATTATTATGGCATAACATTTATATTTAAGTAAATATTATGTATTTGTTATGTATATGTGTATGTATATATATATATATATATATATATATATATATATATATATATATATATATATATATATATATATATATATATATATATATTTATATGTGTAAGTATTTATTTATTTATGTATCAATGTTATATTATTATTCATGTACTTTTATTATTTACATATGTAGGTATATAGAGCTGTTTTATTGTATTATATATTCAATTTTTTATTGGGTATTATTTAGTTTATCTTGAATTGTACGGTTATTGTCCTTATACATTCTACAGTTTTCTTTCAGCTTCATAAGGTTGATTGTAAGAGATCCCTTTATGGGATAAGTTCGCCATTGTATATTAAATCATTTATCAGTATTCAATGTGAATTATGTACAATAAAGATTTTACAATACAATATTTATATAAAATCTTCTATATAAATATATAGTTATTATGTATAACTGTGGCACACGCATGAAGAAAAAAAAATTGTTACTAATTTTATGCATTCTGATTTTTTTTTGTACATGTATCTTTTTTTATCTTTTTTCACTTTGCATTTGTGTCTGTTGCTGTTTGTGTGCTGTAAGTAATGCAAATAAATTATTTATCTATTTATCTATTAACTGTTTTGGCAAACGTTTTGCCCTCTACTACTACCTATAGGTTGCATTTTTCTTATCGGGCTATTCAAGTTAGAGGAAACGATACTCATAAAAATTGAACAATTTCAGATTCCATTTTTATTGGGTAAAAATTATGTTATCTCTCAAGTTATAACAAACAATACTTGTTTGAATTGAGTTTTAGATATTAGCGTGAACAAACAAAGTGATAAGGGATATTTAAATATTGAGAAGATACACAAATGAATCAATTAGTTAATTTTATTTGCTTAGAACAGTTCAATGAGAGCGATACTGCATACTTCTAGTTAGGTATAAAATAAAATTATCATGTTTACAATAGGGTACGTAAATACATTATGGTTTCAGTGGTTTTGGTGAGTCATTTAATATTTTTATATACCAATGTATTATTTTATAATATATACAAACCCTATAGCACACTACTGCAGCGGTCAGCAACTAAGGCATTAATAGACGAACGTGCAAATGTGGGCCGAGGCCTAGCCGAGGCACACATACGTGAGTCCATCAATGCATAGTTGTGGCCAAGACTTATATAGTACTTTTCTCAAACAATGCGCGGAAATCAAAAACACAATTTTACTTTTTAAGTTCAATGACGAATAACTAACAATAATAATTTTTCACGTGCCATAATGTTCCTTTGCTTTTTTTTTTCAATAAACAGCTTTCTATTTGCAAGCCAATTCGAAATTTAAATAAAACCTTTTATTAGTTACCTCCTTGGTAGCCATGTTTCGAAGTAAAAGGTCATTCCATTTTTAAATTACAGGACAGATATGAGTTCACATATTATCTGGCCGCAAAACACGACAGATATGAATTTTCATACAACTTTTGCCGGCCGCTGCCCGCATGTATCTGGCCAGTACGGCAATTTTAATTTATTTCGAAGAAGATTGTCAAAATAATGCTCACATTTCCAAGAATGTTTGAGAAATAGATATTTTCTCCTTTCGAATTCTTAATGACTGGAATATATACGCCTATAGGTATCACTCGATGGTTATAACGGTATCTAGACAAGCGGCAGAAAAAAAAAGACCTGGTGACACAGCAGCCGACTGTAATATTACACCACCCTCTCAAAACTCAAACTTATTTAAACTACGTGCATGATATTTGGCACAGTCATCAAAGGCCCGTAGCTTGTCTAGAATCTGTAATATTATAAATGTTGCTCAAATAGTTGTTGATGTATTAACGTTTAAAAACCGACATTATTATGACTGACTCTTTGACCGACTTATAGATCCAAAACCTAAACCACTTCCAGATGACCTAGAAACGTCAAGATTATTATTAAACTTTACAAAGATATTAAGCTTGCATTGCTTATACAAGATATAAATTAAGCTTATACAACAAGAAAAACCTGAATACTGAAAATTATTGATAATACGAGTAGGTATCACAACAGAGAAATAACGAAGTATGAAAGTAGGTGAATGTAAATATATTTTTTTTTTTCTTATATGGTGTTTTACAGTAGAAAAATAAAGTATTTTTACAAATAACAATGATATAACGATGAATATTAATAATTTGCCGTGTGGTTCCGGCATAGAATGGGTCATCTTTTTCTTTTCTGTGGGTATCGTAAGAGGCGACAAAGGAAAAAATAATCGTCGAGGGATGGGCAGCAGCGTCCTTATTAAAACATAACTAACTGTGTTTGCCAATACGCCTGCTAAGCATGGCAACTACTGGCAAAACCCCCCTTTATGGTGGAGATTTATGTTCAGCAGTGAACAGCTCACATAATAATAATGACATGATTACTAATAATTTCTATGCAAAAAGTAATGATGTCTGTGAAATGAGAGCAACCTTCAAATGAGAATAGCGTCGTTTTGATTCTGTCAAAAAAAAATTGAAATCTATATGGCTGCTAAGTTTTGTGTAGAAAATCTTACTAACATTATTAACTGTTATTATTCTTAGCTATTCTAATAAGGAAGTACTACATTTATGAATCACTGTTCATCCCAAAGGTTAACTGATAGAGAACACTACCAGCATTAAATCCATATTTCCTTCAATCAATAAAGTTTTTAAATAAATAAGCATTCATGTTTCTGCCGTGAAGCAGTTGTGTTTGCACGGCTATGTTTAAGTTTGAAGGGTGGGATATGACAGTGAATTTACAGGGTGCAGAGGAATAACACCTGAGTCCTCAGGAATGACAACGCATGGGGGGTATAATGGGCGAAACAGTATACTCTGTTATATCCATGGTACTGCTCATGTCTATAGCCGACAGTTACCACTTTCCATCAGATGGGCCGTCAGCTTGTTTGCAATTCTAAGTTACATAAAAAAAAATTATGACCTTGTAATTTCACAGATTTTTTTCACTCTTCAACCCAATATAGCTTAATATCAATATTGCTCATATTAAATAATAGTCCCCATGCAAACAAATTTTATACAGTCTCCTTCTAGTAATTATTAAAAATTACATATAAAAAAACTTACCTTGATCCTTGTACCCGTGCACAGCTATGTATAAGTTAATATCAAGAAAATTTTCATTTTTTATATAAAATGTATCAATGTTGGGTTTAACAGAACTATAGAAGCCAATATTATTTCCTTTCTCCATTGAATCCATCACACAACTGTTGTTACATACTGTCACATTATATTCATGACTGTGTACTTGAAACACTATAAATGAGACATTAGAATTTATATTTTCAAAGTTGACTTGGATTGTAGATGATCTTTTGATTTGTAGAAAATCTCCATACAATTGTTTGTCGGCCCATGTTATTGGTCTGTCAAGAGATATTGTAATATTTGTCACTGAAAATAAAAACTATTATATAATTCTGAACACTATATAAATATATATATAAATACATCCAGTTCAGATTGAAATCCAGCCAGTCCTCTTTAGGAAAACTTGCAGTTATTTTCTGGTGAATTTGTTTTGATGTGCCAAATAACCTGACTCCATCCCATGCTGTAGTCTCTTGGGAAAGCCTCGGCAAGGAGCTCATTCCACAACCTGAGTGTTCGTGGGAGGAAACACCTCTGAAACCGCACAGTACGCGACCATTGAGGCTGTAGGACATAAGGATGAACTCCCTGTCGATGGTGAGCCATACGATGGTAGAAAGTGGCTGTGGGCAACATATTGAACAATTCCTCTGAGCACAATCCTTTGAGAGGATTGAGAGGATGAAACAAGTCAGCTGACCCATTGGGATGAATTCTATATATATTAACCATTTTGATTTTCGGGGAGAACCATGTAGAGGTCTACCTGATAGGGTATACTGCTTGTTGCTAATTCGAAGTACTAACAATCTTTTCTCTCTCCGGTTACAGTGGGTAAAGACTGTTCTAACTTCTTGTCACCGAATTTACAAACTTTCGTATAAGGTAAATAAAATTAGGCCGGGTCCAGATTAGTCGACCCGATAATAATATTAGGTTAACAAACAAGGAATTTTCCTTACGAAATACGTAAATTTATTGTTTTGTCCACTGGTACATAACATTCAATTACCTACTTAAATCCTGGTATCGAAGAATACTATAAGTAATGTAACATAAACAAGTTTTATAACACAAATAATATGTAATATTGATACTGGTCAAAGTTTCATTTCGGTATATACAAAACCGCCCCTAATTTTATTCAAAGACCAAAAAAATACTAAAGTACTTACTTTGTGTGTTCACTACACTAAACACAAACGGTAGGATTAAAATAATTTTAATAGAAAGCATTTTAAAAGATCTCTATTTTCATTTATTTTTTAATTGTATAATTTCTGAATATGATGACGATACGACCGACTATAATAAAATACCTAATGAAATAAATAGGTAATTGTTATTGTATTGTAAAGCGCTATCAGCTGTTCATTTGACACTGATTGACATTGACAGTTCGCTGGTGACAGTAATACGTATTCACAATGTATTCATACATTCTGATTCAAGCAGCATACATTGGTTCTTAGCTAAGAACAAGGAATATCACGAAATCTTTGGAACACGAAGTAAGAAAGTTGAATTTATTCTTGTTCTTAATTTTTTATAAAAATTTTGTATATATATATATATATATATATATATATATATATATATATATATATATATATATATATATATTGCTATCTAAATAACATGTCACCTGGATTAATTTTGAAATTCAATGTAGTTTTTTCTAGGTTTGACGTTATTTAATCGTGATATAAATAAATACCTAATAAGATTTGGAAAAAATTAATAATTAATGTTAAATTTTTACCTAATATTTCTTAATTAAGTACCCTTTTTGTTTGGATTAATAACTATTTCTTATTATTTAAAATATCAGTTTTAAATATAGTTATCAAACTATTGCTATAATACGAATGACTATATTTAATATAATACGAATTAATATACTTCACACTGACTGTATATTATTCAATTAATTCAATAAAGTAGGAATATATAAGGGTAGAACAAAATAATTACCAAAGACTAAATTCATAAAAACTAAAACATTCCACAAGTATATATTTTAACTATTACACTAGGTTGACACTCGTTCTAATTGCAAATTTAACTCAGAAGAAAGATGCTAAACAGTATATATTATAAATTAGGGGACTAGGTATCCATTTATTTTATGAATCTACTCTTAATTGTAGCAATGTTAGTTTTTATTCAAATCATAGACATGTTTTTTGTGATGAATTTAACAAGTATTATATTTATTTACTATCATGATAAAAAAAATGATAAAATTTTATCATTATTATTGTACATAGTAAGTACATATTTATGATTCACGAGAATATTATCGCAAGCAAAGTACCTACGATCGATTCCAACGTCGACCGCTAGAGCGCATTCACGTCAAATTCTACAAACATGGCGACACGATCAATGAAGTTGTAATGTAGTTGTGATGTGAAGTCTTGTGTAAAAATAAAAATGTTCGGATTCAGTGTTGTTTCTGTGTAACATTGTCCATTAATGGACCATGGGGAAGAGCCAGGAGTTTTTAGATGCTGCCCGCAAAGGCGACGAGCGGACAGTTGAGAAAATAATAGGACAAATAACTAAAAGGAGTGGCCAATGGACAACAAGGTGGGTCTTTCGTGTTTTCCAGTTTAGATAAGTAAATGCTATGGAATTTAATGTTCTGGCATCACAACAAAGTCTATATTTTGTATGCTTTCATTCAAGTTTACTTCCAATTCTCTCTGCCACCGGTTTTATCTTTTTATCAACAATAACGTTTTGTTATGTTGTTCTCTAAAAGATTTCGATGTTTACATGCTTATCACAGATTTAGTGACTTATGCAATGATTAGACTTACAATATAGTTTGCGCAGGTACATTTTGTTTAGATGTAGCTGTAAATAAGAAGCCGGTGGTAGATTAGTTAATGATTATTAAAGAAATCTGTGACAAGGTCAGACTCCATTCTGGTACTAAGTTTATTTAATGTCTTTAGTCTAGCTAGCTAGTAAGTAGTTAGATGCTAGAACTGTGCTACTTTCAGAAGATACCTAGTAGATCTATGCTTCAAATTGTTTTCTTAGAAATTTGTTGTAATGCCATAGATACTTTTTTAACTTTGAAATGAAATGGATGTAGTTTTTATTAATTATATGATGTTTGTGTGTTGTACCAGTAGCATTCGTTTGTTTAATATATAATAGAGATATATCTTTGTATTAATGAGTACATCTATGCTCTAACTGAACATTATTTAAATATTTTTCCTTATACATGTTTTAAATAAACAATACCTAAATATGACATTACATGCTTATATAAAATATATTATATTATTTTGTTATTGATGAGTAGGACAGTGAATAAAAAAAAATCCAAAACATGAACTGACAATTAGATATATGTTTCATTTAAAACATAAAATTTTAAATAATTTAGGTAGTAGATAAGTAGTATTGTAAACCGTTAAACATGTGAAGAAGTGAAAAATGGGCAAAATATTAATAGTCTATATTGCTGACATTCTTCAATTATAAAGATTTTATACAACTACTTTTACCCATTGTCTTGCAAATAAAAGGAACAATCATTAGTTTAAATTGATATAATAGATGAACTGCCTGATAGTTTAAATTAAACTACAACTTAAATCTATATTTGACTAAAACTGATTTTGATATATATTCTTTATTGCATTAAAACATACAGTAATAGTAATAAATTAGTACCAAATTAAGAAAAGAGGAACTTATCTCTAAAAGACATTTTTTCCAGTCATCATTTTTGATGCCAGGAGAGTCTTGCGAAATTTTGCCAAAACCAAGCAACACTTATCTTCAGGGAAATTTAATTTGTATCTTCGGGATTCAATCCTTAGGTTACACTAATAAGATACATCTTTATTAATTGTGATATTATGTGTTCCATGTAACTGTTAATTAGGTATATCAATTTGTAAGTGTGTAAACTTTCTCCTTCTGTATATAATCATCTGAAATCACTCAAGTTTGGAGAACTCATGTAAAACTGATTTGCTTATGCTGATAATGTTTACATACCGTTTCTGTTCACTAGTATATTGATAATGAAACTCGAAATTAGATCAGCTTAAACCACATCACAACTTTCTTTATTCTATCTTTCTAAACAAGTTGTCTGTTGTGACAGTCTGATCTTTTTGTACTGGCATTTTATTAATGATATTTCTATTTCCCTATGACTACATTGACGGCTGAATATATGTGGGGTGGACAGACTTAATATATCTGAATGGGGGGAAGGGATTATTGGTAAAGGAGACTAAGGGCCCTATTGCTGGCAATATATTCAACCAGGTCGACCTCCTCGTGGTTGCGCCTGGAAACCATTGTGCTGAATTCCAAGTGTATTCATCATGATGGGCTAACTGACATACTTTTTTTCATTCTCATCTATCATCCCTTAATGGTGCCCCGACAGCGTATATCGTTAGTGCAGGTAGGGTAACCATTCCATTATTATCTATATATATATTTGGATAGGTAGACGGAATGACAAATAGTTCCTTAAACAATTTCCAAAAAGTATATCAAATTCCATACTGATAAGTTTAACCATTGAAGTACTAAAAGGTAACAAATAAATAAGCTCATTTTCTTTAATTCTATTAGGATATTTCAATGTTTAATAAAAAGAGACCATAACACCTAAATATTCAGGAGCAATGTTATATGATAGGTGCCTTTCTGTGATTTCATGAATATTATAATTAGAGGGGTTACCACTTTTTTAATAATTGGTAATCTTACCTGCGCTAATGGTATCCACTGGTGGAGTATCAGGAAATGATAGGTGAGCATGAAGACAGGTTAGTTGGCCCATCATGATGAATACATAAAGAATAGATCATGATGGTTTTCAGGAGAGACTGCATGAAAGTTGACTTGATAGGAATCATTTTTAGCAATGAGGTGGGTAATCCCAATACTAATAATCCCATCTTTCTCCCCTTCCCACTATTGGAGAGAGGGTGGTTCCTTTTGCTCTACCTCATAGGTAGTTTTCTTTATATAAAAAGGCTTCAATGTGGCTTACATGTCTTCTGAATGGCGAATCTGGTGTTTATTATTTTTAAATGATCCATGACAATTGAAATTCGATTTTCTGGATCTCTTAATCACGGTCAAATGTTGTCAAACTAATCTTTCACCGATTACAATGTTTTTTGGTTGCCACTGTTGTTGTTGATTGTTGGTTTAGCCTCTCTGAGTACTATAAAAAAGGGTTGTATTACGTATAATATTGTTTGATATTATACTCGTAGGCGCCTACTACAAAGCCTAAAATTAATATCTAAAAGCAGTTATCTATTTAAGGAAGTCGAATAATTCGAATCATTAAAGTGAAGTGTTTGGCGGTGCGCCAGACACCAATCGATGCACGTACGTTGAACTTTTGTCTGTTTGTTCCTACTACTTGCATATAATATAAATATAATGTACTATACTTACCTACATTCATTATCACGTGATATTCACATCGGTACTTGACTGGGCTTACGAAATTAGATCGTAGAATTTTTTACTGCTTTCGCTACCTGCTGCGGTTTTTAATTTTGTTTCTATTCTTTTCTAATTTTAAAAAGCAACTAAAAAAGCAAAAAATTATGCAATATCATAATTGCTTTTTAAAATTATAATAAACAACAACACTATTTTCTAGTCAGGTAATTTTAAGACTCTTAAAAACTGACATGCACCTAAAAATAATACATAATAACTTTAATAGCAGATGTCTAGTAAAATCAAAAGACTTTAATTATTACTATACCGGCCTCAGAAAAGGAGGAGGTTCTCAATGTGAATCCAACGACCCGTTACTCGAATTTGTTTACAATATTCACCATCACAACAAAATTAACTGAAGATATCTAAGGTTTGAGTTATGCAGGCCGAGCACTGGCGGTGAACACTTCGTTCTTGGGTAGGTAGTAGTCAAGAAATTGCTCAATAGCGGTGGTAATACTGCGTTTTTATTTATTTGATGCTAATTATTTTGGTTATGTCAGCATCACGCATCACTAGAACACAGCACCCACGGCTTAAATAAATGTTCATGGTTTGTAGAAAGTACCTCGAGTTATTTAAATAAAAAAAATAGAAGACTAATATTACATTGTAGATAAAATTTATGCCTCTGTCGTCGTTGTGGTATATTTCTTTGGTAACTTTCTATAGTCCATTGTACGCCATATATTTTACCGCATCCTTGTATTATGGCACTGGGCTAATATTTTGTACATTGATACGTCATTAATATTTATTACAATACATGACAGTATTCCGTCGTGTGTGTCTTTGTGTTTCTTAACGGTGTATCTCTATACTAGGTACTTCCTAATGTACTTTA